TAAGGTTTGGGGGGGGGGGGATTTAAGGAAATAGCGACCCCAACTGACTGCGCACTCGGGTTCAGTCACCGGAAGTTCTGAATTGCGACCCCGCTTCCATGTGAACGTACACGAGTAACGTTAAAAGATTGCAAGCCTTAGTTGAGAAACACGCGGACGAAAACACTGCAATGAAACAGCGAAAGATGGCAACGGACAAACTTAGATCCTTCGCTTGCACAACGGTCAACGGGCTACCATCGCATCGTAGTGCTGTGCAGCAGTCAAGGCGAAGGAAAGTAATGTCGCCATCGAACGCAGTTCGTGTTTCGGGAATAAGCTGTACCATGTCATGCTGACGCGTTTCGTAGTGTCAAATCCTCCTGCGTTCTTTTTTTCTTCTATGCCCCTTCTTAGCTGTTCTTGCGGGCGTGACTCGAAAGGCTAAAGCGGGATGTTAGCCGAGAGGGTGCAATTCGCGGAAGGCTATTGTCAGTGTATTTCGTGGTAGCGGCATGGAAGCGACCTAGCGAGTCGTATGTGACAGGAAAGGGTAACGAAGTTGCAGCACGCCCCAATGTAGTATAGCAGTATCCAAAGTCGACACACATTCGTCCAATGAGTGGGTTATGGATTGTAAGCTGGATTTGAATCCCGACAAGTATTTTGGTTCTATGGCTTTGTATGAACGGTCTATCCGTTGTTTTCCGCAACTCTGCGGACTAATTATCTTATGCCCCTGTTATATTCTCAATAACCGAGTTACTAAGCCTATAATTGACATAGTTTTTCAAGAAATTGTTCTGTCCATTACATCTGTGGCTGTGGTATCTGTTTAGCGTTAGCAGCACAGTTGGATCTATTGTTACAACGTCCCGAACCAACAAAGTCATCATAAAAGTTCAACTTCGAAGAGAGCCAAGTCAGCAACGTATTATAAACCTAGTACCAACTTCTAACTTATTATTAACGTTCCAGTAACTGTGTAGACAGTATCAAACCGAAGGCTAAACGCTTTCCATACAGTAACGTGGAACGAACCTAGATGTAAGACATTCAAACACTACCAGCGCCTGCTACAACAGCCTTTATTTAGCTACGGCCTTAGCAGGACCAGTGAGTCGCTGAGGTTTAACATTGTCGTCGGCGGTAATAGCCGAAAAATAGTAACGATATTTTTCCGTCGGCATCTTCTGCTTTTGACTCAAGTTGGGACGAAACATTGTGCCCCAGGCAGGTCACGTCCGATGTTCAGTCCCGTGTAATAAATGGCGTCTAGGTAGGCTATACAGAAGTTTGCATTACCACTACAAAACGTCATAAAAACGCACAGATTCCTGATACGATAGAGCAACAAACGCGCGATTGAACTTTTGAAAGAGCGCGTTGAACGGCGACTCGTGACGAATTGCGCATCACGATTCACACCCAAGAGGGACGGACCCGCAATGAGTACGGGTCGTAAAACCTAGTTATTGACGCATGCCTACACACGGGCAGCACGCTGATCGATAGATGCATGCACATTATACATGCTATTTAAATGACAGATATATTAGAATAGTATGCAGTACATTGTAACAGACGACACGTGAGTTCGCGGTCCCTATACCACATAATATCAGAACCGGTGATGTTATATTCTGGCAAACTCTAAGTGGATGCTGTTATTTAGCGGGATTGATCCCCAACCATTGGGCAGTTGTCTTTCTAACGTATCTGCAGTTGCGACAGTGATAGATGTGCTTGTAGTAATTGAAGCTTTGTCATCGTCCTTCTACCGCCGCACTGTCCACTGCCAAATTCGCGACGGTCGGTGAGGACCGAGAAAATAGATGCGCTACGCTATAGGAGAATGCAACATTTCAACAATACACCGTTTGGTGTAACAGCAGCGTCCACGTGCGCCAATTCTGCACAGCGGTCGTTAGTACCATCATCGATAATCAACTAGACTGCAACAGGACAAGGCACCATGGCCAGTGTGCCATGGGCGCCATACATTAGACCTATGCAACAATTTTGTAGGTGAGACGTCGTCCACATACAGTGTGCCGGCGGGCACGGGCCAGGCAAGCGAGCCTCTTGTTGACAAGACGGAATGATGATGATGACGACGATGCTGAATCCAGCGTGAGGACGTTCTCAGCAGCGAATAGCTTCAGGTCACCAATCTCCTAAACCCTATTTGCTGGAACTCATTCATTGTTATTGGCACCAAACTGTACACCCTGCGAACTCATATCTCAGCAAGTTCTCTGTCTATACAAGTTCGATTCAACGGTCAAAGCGGTGGCCATACTGACATGTCCAACAGACGAACGACAACGCAATGAAGTATAGCACCGCCTGTCGTGCCGCATATACTACCAACCCGAACTGCAACGACTAATCAATGGGGCCAGTTGTAGAACGCTTTTCAATATTGAAGTTAATTTTGTTGTCGTATTTTTTAAGTTTGATTCAATATTCAGCCGTATTTACCTGGAGGTTTGCAGTTTAAGAGGTAAGCCCTCGCCTGTCGCGCATCTGCAGCTATGGCGACTCTATGGGTATTCTTCTATTTTAAATAGGTATTAAAAGGGACGCAACATAGACCATCGTCCATACCGAAAGGACGACGAAGTTCTGCTGAAGGGCACGTGCAATACGCAACAAATAGGAGAGCGACTGCATCAGTTGCTTGGATGGCTGGGCAGGTGGGCTGGAAAAATGTAATAGGGTTGTTGCGGAGTATGACAATGTTACCGACAATTGCTGCTACCTCGCGGCTACCGGTGATTAGCTTTGCCTTCTCAGTCCACAACAAGGCGTATTCCATTATAAAATGAAGAGCAAAGTTATACGCGGGTAAACATCTGCATCTGCACAGGTGATACTCTCGGGTGATGGGAAAAGAGAGAGAACAGGGGTTAGTAGCGAGTGGGCATAAAAGAAATGTTAAATACAACTAGTTTTTTTGTTTGGCGATTACATGCGCAATGTATTACGCATCTTTCTATAGAGTACATGCGTTTGAAATGTGGCTCATTGTAAGCATTAAATAAACGCTGAAAGTTTTCCTTTAAATAACTAATAATAATTTACATAGTAAAAAAGGCACGGCTTAATAAAGGTCTGCATAATTGGTCTAGACAATAAATTTGCTGTTGGTATACTGTTCGTGTTCCTTATTTGAAATTGTCACATTTTGATTAGAATAAAATTACCACTCTAAACAAAGATTAATGCGCATATTTTACGATGCGAACTCTTTGGAACCTAATAGATCGTGTTACCAAAAAATTATTCCCGTCATTGACAAATATTAATCCTGATAACTAATGCCGGTTGGACTGAATTAGAATGGAGCTTTTTGCTCCAGCTGACTCTCGATAGTTTTAGTTCGGGGTCAATGGTAAACACTAACTACTACGTTAGACCAAATATCTTTGGATTTATGTTTTGAAGATTTAGTTGTTAACGATACCCGCCATCCAGCATTCCCTGTGTCAATCAGGATACAAGTTCGTCAATTACTCTTGTTTCGCAGCAAAAATAAAACAAACAAACAAACAAAAAATTTAAAAAGATCTTGATATAGCCAGCGTCCGTACCTGCATAATTTTTTAGAGTAAGCGCAGTTATGAAGGTGTAGTTATACATACTTTACTAGGTTTGGTTGAGCTCTAGAGACTTCAACACACGGCAAATAATTGATACCAGTTGAATAAATGTAAATCTATTTATTGCTATTTAACCCATATAAGGGTAAACAATATTTTAATAGATGTTTTTGCCATTTCGACTATCATACCTAATCTCATTATCGATCATTTGATTGAAAAAATCGGCGGTAGATTACGTTAGGCCACCTATCGCCCTCTTCAAGCGCACAATGATTCGAAATCAGATGGATCAAAATCTGGATAGGGTATACTAATTCTTCTCTAAAATTTTATGTCTGGCACTGTCGTCATGCATCGTTTAAGGGCTTCCTTTCAACCCCGGAAAATGTAGAAGTTGAAGCCATTGCTTAGATCTGCACTCGTAATCAAGGCCGTATTTACAGTATTGAAGTCATCGGCTTTTATTGAATTGCCACACCGGATGCTATCAATTTTGTGGCCTTACAGCTATAAGGCTTTTCAAGCAATCAGGTTCTCGGGCAGCACTGATCGTCTCACTTTCAGGCAGTATCCCGTAAAAATGAATGATCCTGATGAGCATAAGCCTCAGTTTAGCCCCAAATCTGTTTGCTATTGACACTGCAGTCATTTCTCCTCCTGTTCAACGCCACCTCCTCGTTTAACGCTCCTCTGATGAGCGTAGGTTCGCTGCCATGTATCATCGATGGCGGCTGTGTTCTCTGGGCAATTTTTGCCGATAGTAGTCGCGCAAACCGTTCCTAAAGTATATCGCGCCTATTTTCATCTGTCTCAGAATGAATTCATGAGACACCAATTTTTTCTTGTGTTCTTTATTTTCTGTATTTTCGTTGTAACCTTCGATAGGGACCGCGTTATCCATATGTTTTTTTTACCGTAAAGCCCCTGTGACCACAAATACATATCTTTCAACTCGAAATCCTGAGGCGTGGCCATTTTCTCCGCAACCTTTGATTCCTTTACTTGAAAAAGAATGAAATGACCACTCTGTTAATGCGTCGGTATTCTGCCAAGGGCCTTAGTACCGTTCACCAATTTTAGACGAATTTCCGCAGCACCCTTCCTTTCACAGCATTTAATTTATTTAATCGTTAAACGTTAATTAAACGAGCCTTTGATGGCTAAATCCTATACTCTTAGACAGCTAAAGACACGGTGTACGTATTCATAAGATTTTGTTAGCTAATGTTGTTTGGCTTAAAAGGCAATAGACATTTTCAGCTTGCTAAATAGCTCTGGACGAATTAATATACTAAATATAAGAAAAAGTCACAAAATGGACTTAGATATGCATCAATCACGTTATTCTATTAATACGCTGGATCATACTTTGGGTAAACAGACAAACCACCAGCTCTCCTAAGAGCGCTTCTAGACTTCGTAAACAACGAACAGCATCCACCATCACAAAAACATGCGGTACTGCGGTGTCATCCAGTTAAAGTCATTGTACGATCTTTTCGTCTAACTCTATAGAATAGACAAAATGCGTTTAGCCGTCACATAAGGCACTGCTAAGTAAATGACGCTAGAGTTAGGAAACGGACGACAAGTCGAGAGAATTTGGTTGTCGAATCGGAGCGGAATCGCACTATGATATAGGAAAAACGTTGCGCCCTTTGACTTGACAAAGTCAAAAGTGCCGTTTGTTGTGGTTCGCTGGTGGCCCGTCGCCTGTTCGACGACTGCGCTGGCAGAAAATTCTGCAGAATGAAGGGCCCTAGCGGCCGGAAGACTTTTAGGGTATCAACGTCGGACCTGGATCGCTGGATTGAACAGCTCTATGAGCGAAAACAGCTCAACGAAAAGGAGGTCCGAGTGCTAACGAAAAAAGCCAAACAAATCTTACAAAAGGAAAGTAATGTCCATCAGGTGACGTGCCCGATCACGGTGTGTGGCGATATTCACGGCCAGTTTTACGATCTTCTCGAGCTATTTCGCATCGGCGGCAAGCCGCCTGATAACAATTACCTCTTTATGGGTGACTACGTAGACAGAGGATTGTATTCGGTAGAAGTTGTGACTTTACTGACGGCTCTGAAGGTGCGACATAAGGATAAGGTTCATCTACTTAGGGGTAACCATGAAAGCCGCCAGGTGACACAGATCTATGGTTTTTACGATGAATGTCTACGAAAGTATGGTAACGCCAATGTATGGAAGTCGTTTACAGAGCTGTTCGATTTTCTGCCTGTTACCGGCCTAATTGAGAATAAGATCTTCTGCATGCATGGTGGATTATCGCCGTTACTGAAAACGTTGGACGAGGTTCGGTCGTTAACACGAACAGTTGAGGTGCCCACGGATGGGCCTCTCTGTGACTTGCTCTGGTCTGACCCAGAGGACACGATGGGGTTCACGGCGTCTCCTCGAGGCGCGGGATATATTTTTGGCCAAGACGAAAGTATGAAGTTTTGTCGAACAAATGGTTTAGTGCTGATCTCGCGTGCGCATCAACTCGTTCAAGAAGGATATCGGTACACACACAATAATAAGGTAATCACAAAGTGGGAGAATAGTTTTTTGGCACTGCGAAAAGAGCGCGCAGCAATCGTACGTTACAATATACGAAATTGTTAAGAAAAAAATGCAAAAAATACTTTGCCTTTTATTAGGCAAAATGAATTAACATACGGCGAAATGTTTTAAAATTTTTGTTTTTGGAATATTGTTGATTAAACCCAACGTCCAAACAAAGGGACCTCATACGAACACGTCAATGCACTACGCTTACAAGAACGCATATGAAAACCTATGCGAGAATTTTCGTTCGGTTCATTACGCAATGTATAGTGCCAGCAGTTTTAGGCCGATAGCTGGATAAAAACCTACAGATTAATTTTAATCTAGGGCCTGATTTTTCAATTGCGCTATACCTTTTTATATAGGTTGTGACCGTGTTCTCGGCGCCTAACTATACGTACCGCTCGGGAAACCTCGCTGCTGTTATGGACGTGGACGACTCAATGCGACAGTCGTATATTCAATTTGACGCAGCTCCACGCGAAACCGAACAAGTGCCAACAAGCCTCACCCGCTCCGATTACTTTAGTTAGAAAATGAACAGACGAGCCTTTCGACAGGAATTGGTTCGTACGAAAAGGAAAATTTTCTCCATGCGAATTCTTCACCCTCCTCCTCCTCCTCCTCCTCCTCCTGTGTCCCGTAAGAAGAGGGTGCCATTTTTCTCAGTACTTTTATATTACGCGGTGCGATTCCTGCTCTATTATGGGGCTAGCAGACAGGATGTAAGTGTTCACATGCAGGACGAAATGCTTTTGAAAGACAGATTACCATATAGTTGTTGGTACCTAGTCCAAAAATGTGTTTGTAAAAATGTTGTTTTAAGTATTTGGTAGATAACATTTAAACGCGTTCATTCTTTTCCCAAATGGCAGTAGCAATGAGCAGTTTGTGAAGTGCTGTTACAGGTTCAGTTTTACGGTTATCGTTAGGCTACGACCTACTGGAACGTTTGAAGGTATCCATTCTATTCCGCTTGTGTTTATTTTCGCATTTGTCCATTAGAAAGGGCGGGGCTTTTGGTGGCCATAAGTTGCCAGCTTCCAATTATATTCCCGCTGAATTTTCAACGCGCAAGAAATATCTAGTGGAGATGCCCTTCGACTGCGTCCTTTGTAACCTTCTATAGTCTACCTTTTGAATGCTCTTCGTTACGGTCATTTAGATCATTGGAGTTACTGCTCGCTTGACTGGATTTAGGATAAATTAGATATCATTTGGCATAGTGAGGATGCCCTTGATTTCCGACTCGTCTACATGGCGGTAACTGACGGTACTAATCGGTTTCTCCCGGGTAATAAGTGGACTGGAGTTGACTGCGACTACCAACGTCGCCATAAAGGCGAAGCTAATGGACGGTAGCCGTCCGGGATGTCCTTCGCAATACCACCAGTTTGAGAGGTCGCCAAAAGCTCGCTTTTCAGTATCTATAACGACTGCTTCTCTGGAAGATCTCTGGCCGCGCTTCAATTATTTGCGCTAAACGCGAAGGCGACCGATTGATCTTCCCTATGTCCTCGGCGAACCTTCAAAGAAGTCCATAATCATGGGTCCTGGACATCTTCGCCCAAAGTAACGACCTACTTGCTTGGTCCCATTCTTCCTGTTGCGAGGCTCACAGCGGAACCCAGTATAATGTACGTTTAAGACGCGTCCTCAGAGTGTGGCGCTATGGCGAACTTATCTAAAAAGCAATAATAGTAGTATCTATCGGCAGTTGTTGTAATAGAAATAGTTACTAGTTATTGCTAGCATTGGGTGCACCGCACTGTACCTCGTTTTGCGAATCCCCATTGAAAGCAAGCCGAGCAGCCATTGACGTACGACTATAATAAGAAGCGCTTGAGGAAATGCAAAATGCTCTTATCAAAACAAATACTACATAAATTAAATTATACTTACATAAAAAATTAAATCATACTTAAAAGGATACGATGGCGAAAATAGTAGATAGGAACTAAGACATGTAGCGACTTTACACCTGACGTCCACGCCCGTACAGATACTACTTAACACACAATCAAGCTCATTTCGATTTTAATGGTGAGCGCCTGCCTACTTAAACTTGAATTACTTGATCATTCAATATAACCTAAAAACGTGAACCTGACGAGCTATATGACAGTGAGCCATCTCGTGCGGCACGCATCTTGTGCGGCGACACGATCAATAGAAAACACATTATGGTTTAATTCAACACTGCCCTTCGAGTCTCCGGCGTGAACTCATAGCGGTAGCATTGTCGCAAAAACGGTGATGTCGGTGACACGATGGCTGGCAGAACCTCAACGTGATAAACAAAAGGAAGCGGAATAACAATTAAAAGTTAAATGGACTGTCTTTACGAAAGGTCTTTGAAGCTGTATGATTAATGTGATATTGGACAAGCAATGGCAGTAATATTATGGCACTAGCGAATGATAAGGAGCATATAGGGAAGGCACTGAACAAGAGGGACGAAAGAAGTAAACATAACCCTTCAAGACGGTCAACGATAAAGGGAAACCGAACAATTCAAAAATCTACAGAAAACTAAAAAAAGTACGTGTTTAAAAGCGTGTTGTGAAATGTACTAATACTCGAGTATGAACTAAAATCAACAGCTAGTCAAGATACGAACGTATCTAATTAAGTGATAAAATTAAGTAAAAAATGCTGTGGAAGTTGAAGTGCCCAGTTAGTTTCGCCATCGAATATGATCGTGTAAGCCAATCGGAAAAAAAACAAGGGAGCTGGGTTCGCTGAACGTCATCTAGGCCGTCGACGTTAATTTTTCTCTGTTTTGTTCAATTAACTTTGAACTACAACTACTACCGATACGACAGTCTATCTATCTTCACATCATAAGCTGGACCAGTACAGTCAGTATCCTTTGGACATCCGGGCAAATAATAATCTGCCCGGAATCTGCTGTCTATGCGATTGAACGATTACAACAATAGCTGGACGGCCATGTCAACGTACTTACGTTACTCGCGTATAGTACTTCGTGCTTAACGCCAGTACCCTATTGGCTCTTTTCCCCCATTATATTCGATACTGTTCCACCAATTCGATTAGATCCAAATCGACAATTAGAAACCTCAATCCTGCGACACGCTAAATAGATAACGAGTTACACGAATAACAGATCATTACAGTAGATATATATATATATATATATATATATTATATAGCCCATAAGTTGCTGTAAAAACTGATTGCCGGCGTTTGACAGCGAAGCAGCAGCAGCAGACGTGACGTAGCACGCATTTCCGATGTCGCGCCTGCATCTGAGGCTCGGGGGAGACTGTTTCCAATTCGCTTTTAAATTTTAGCCGCGAAAAATTCGCTCACATGTATCGGTTCAGAGAGGCCAGGAATGGCGTTCGTGCTTTTAGCATGTGCAGATGTTTGTATTTCGGAATAATTGACCAGAATATACGTATGTAATACGTATAGGCCTAAAATTATATCATGTGCGGTTCGAGTGATGCAAATCAATTTCATATACGGAGGTTATGCACATGATTGAAACCCGGGTATCGTACCCATAATCTGTGAGCGACGATTTTCTGTATAGCAAAAAAGTTATTTTTCAAGCAGCAGGCCTCGTTCCGTAGGTGATTCATACAAATCCACTAGTATATTAGCTAAGGGTTTTCTAAACTGCTTGTATTTACACTGTGCATTTTGATTCTTCTATGAGCTTTAGCATGTCCTGACAATGTGTTTATGGCATTCTGTTATATAAGCTTAATTGAACCACTCAACAATCAGTGTTCAAGAACAAGTGACCATCGCATTTTCTGTGCCTCTATTTCCCTGATGTGTCAAGGTTTTTTGTGTCACCCAACCAAGCTCTTCAAGTATCGCAGGCATACGAATGCCTCGCATCATAAAACCCGCGCAACCCTCGAAACCCCTTAAAACTTCAAAGGACACTACCCACACAGCCTGTATTGTTTCTATTCTGGACCATATTTTGTATTATGAGTAACTGAACGTGGTAAGCAACGATGTGATCATATAGGGTAGACGAATAGGCTTGAATTTAGTAGCACCGCGTTGGGCCCCATAAAGCTGTGAAGACCAATAAGGCTTGCCTGTTCATTTCGTGATGTCCTTTTGAAAAGGTCGAATGTATCTCCCACTCTTGTCTGGTGAGGCTGGCGATCGGCCGTCGCTCAAATCAAGAGCCTTCTGCGCTTTTCGGAATTCATGTCAGCTTTGCGAGCATGGCGATTAAAGGAACAACTAATGGTGGATGAGAGCAACATTGAACGTAGGCTTTGAAAACGTCGCTCCAAAAAGCATAAAGGAAATCACAAGGCCCTGTTAAGTCTGTTACTACCTTTGCAAGAGTTCAAGAAAGTGGCCGCATAGGACAAAATTGGACGGAGTGACAGTAGGTAGTGGAGTGGAGGGTCTGGGGGTGGCAAGGCGGAATCTTTGTAGAAGCAAACGATGGATTTATGGCCTGTTCTTCAGTGAAAACTCGTCTTTATCTATAGCAGCAAGGAATTCCTTGTTTCAAAAAATTCGGTTTTGTCTAAACCGTCAATACCCGTACGTGTCTGAACATCGCAATGTTTAAGCCAAATACACGGAACCCACTGCATAGAGCGTTGGACCAGTGCTAAATGTTTCTTGCCGCCGTGGCGTAACGGTGGTAACGGTAAAAGGAAACGGTGGCGTAATATTAATTTTGCTATAAAAGCGCTGCGGATGACTGTTTGGGTTTTGTGTTTGTCGAATACAATTGTGCATCACGAAGTTCACGTACCATTGTGAGAACAGTATTTCAGCGTGTGCGTATACGTTTCTCACCAGGAATTGACTTAAATTATCATATGGAAGTCATCCGCGCTGGGCAAATAAACTTTTACTACGATAGTCTAGCTACTACCTAAACGATGGCACATGTTACTGCTCAGCGATGTGTAAGGCTAGTTAATTCTAAATTATTCTGTCATGCGTGCATTCGCTTGGCTTATGTTTGGGGCTGTCCTTCGAATCGTTGGACTGAGCAGACTTCGCGCTTTTGTCTGCAACGAGTTATGAGATCTATTTTGCGGGTCATCAAAAATGTCATGTGCTTCATGGATGCCAGAATTAGTATTTGAATTTACAATTGAATAAATACTATCAGTTTATTTACTGCGAAGCGTTAATACAAATGCGTTCAGAATTTCAAATATTTTTATAAAATTTCTTGCAAATGCTGAGACCTTTTTTGCAGTAATAGTCTCGCTAAACATCTGCAATACTTGGCGTTCGAATTTTCGATTCGAAAAACCGTTCGAATTTTTATTATCATAGCTCTACGGTAAGAAGCAATCTAGTTACTATATCCAGATACAAACGTTTCACTACTCGCAATAGATATGTGCATACTTTAGTGTCAAAGTAATAATAACTATGAACATTACTATTTTTTTAAGTAAATAAATAGTTAAAGAAATATAAATGTGTCACGCATTTAAAGTGAAGCTTTGATTTAACGCTTAGAACTAAACGTGGCGTCAACTTTGGCGAAAAACCTCGCCATATTTATAGAGCTGCAGTTTTAGTAACTTGATCAATTAGAATACCTCATTAGTTTCTGGTTGAATGTGCGTTTCGAAGATGAAAACGGAAAAAAAGACTATTGATAAATAATATCTACTACTATTTGCGTACTTTCTTCGTCGAGAGAAGAATTATCGTTGCACATCTGAACATCGATCACCGTAGAGTTCTTCACGAAAACTCTCCTCCATATGCTATTTGTGTATATCATGGATTACACCTAAGAAGAACCTAGCAATCGCAAACGCATTCATCTATTTCGAAAAGCTAGAATGCTCATCAACATAGATTTGATAATTATAGACATTTGGGCGTATGTGTGTATTCATCCCAGTGAAACATCCCAGTGTTTTATTGGAGATAAAAAAAAAAAAAAAGGGGTTCGATCACTTTCGAATTTTTCGGGTAGCTGAATATTCATTTGTCGTCGGTCGTAATAATATAGTTAGCATGTAGCTCTCGGGATGTATTTGTCAATTAAGTCCCAAAAGTTTACATAATCTACATATTGGCCTTGTATTGCTTAGCAGCCCCAGCTTCGGCTTACGATTGTTCAGACAGAAATATCGGTTTTCCTACGAAAAGCTGACAAAGACCGTCTTGTTTTACCAGGAATCCAAATGACCGCCCGAATGACCCTAGATGATGTACGTGATTCAGAGGAGGATCATTGATTTGCATCGATTTCCGTTCCCCCTTCTCCCAAACAGTGCTTTAACAAAAGAAAATTTCAGGTTCTGTAACGTTCTCGTAATGTCAATTCTGCGCTGGTAGGTCAATGGAATAGGTTTATATTCGTCAATTCGAAGTGTTTACTCTCAAGACTTTCAGGTAGATCGCAAGATTGACACGGGAGTGGTAAGCGCGTCCGTCATAGCAACCTGTATTACCCTAGTAACACTCGATGTAGCTTCATTTTTTAATAGTCTTAAACGAAATAACGTCAGTTAGTTCTGCTTTACGCCGAGGGAGCCTCCTATTTTTACCTTGGAGTTCGTCTGTATTTTCTAGATGAAATAGATTATTATTATTATTATTATTATATAGGTGCAAACAAACTGGGCAGCGTAGTAAGTGTTGCATGGAGGACTTCACTTGAGCTGGCGTCGTGTACCGCGAAGGTAACAATCAGCCGTTTCATTCCGTATTTTGTTTAGCTATCCGCGCCATTTCCAATGATCTGTGGCGTCCTCTTAGAAACTCATTTTCATTGGATGTGGATGTCATGTATTTTGCCCCATGTTATGATAAAGGATCAGAGAGCAAGACTGATGGCAACCTTGTGGATGGTTCGTTGAGTCATCAGAACCAAAATGTTGAATGAGACTGGACGCTAGGTTACAAAAATTATCCTGGCACTCGTAAAGCGCGGACTAGACGACGTACGATTTTTTGCACCTACGTGGGGCCGATTGCCCATATCGATTAAAGACGGAGCGTCTACTTTTGTCGCAGATCGACAAAATGGGTAATGCGATTACAAAAGAGCTTGTGACGGGAATTAAGACATCGCCGAAGATGAGGAAATTAGTGCTCCATTAGAAAGTCGCGGTCCAATTGAATTTACTGTTACATTATTCATACACGTGATTTAGCTGTGTCTAAAAGGGATCTTGCCAAAAAGCTCGGAAGTTGGCCAAAATGCTTTTCTCTATATATTAGATATTATGAACATAAAAGTAATCTTCCTCAGTTATATATTAATCTTCCTCAGTTAGATATCTTCGACTCAGTTATATATTAATCTTCCTCAGTTAGATATCTTCAACACGAAAGTAATGGCAGAAAATTATTTATTTCATCTACGTTTGTTATCATCCAGCCACGTTATCATAATCATCCACGTCCATAAAGCAGTTTTACTAATTCTCTGATCTTTTCTCCCCCTCGACACAAGCACTGGTATTATTCTATCAGAGCTTTCTATTTCCCATTCAATTTCTTTTTTTTATTATAACTTGACACTCGCACGTTTATTGAGAGTTGTTCATCGACAACCAACGACCAGCTACTGCCGCCACACTGATAAATGAACATCTAAGCGACAACATCTAAGACTATCATCCGCCATGCCGCCAACTTTTTTTCCCTTTCTCACATTCCCCCAACACACACCTCCTTAAAAGACTCCCTGACTTCCCTCCCTTGCGCATATTTCTCTTATATGGGCGTTTCCCTACCGTGAACAGCTGCTACTTCTCTCGATTGCTTGTCAGACGGCCAACCAGCCAGCCAGTCGGCATTGCTCTTCCTTTGCACAAAGACTGCGTAGGACTTGAAGATGACAGGCATAGTAGCAGTACTGAGGCAACGTTCCAGCGCAATATAGGGCCAGCAGGCCACCTAGCCTGGGCCCAGGTCTGACACTTGCCGCAATAAGTGGATCTTGCATTCAGTGAGTTCTTGCAGAGCAGCTACGTTAGACACGAAAAAAGCAGACGGCGACGAAACCTGGCGATGCAACGGCGAAGGCCGCCTAAAAGATAGCGCGCTCCATTAGAGGGCACCGCTTGCTCCTTAGAAGAGGCAGGTCGGCCGCTTTGTGCGCCTGTATTGCAATTGCAGAATCAGTATGGTTGAGGGGCTAGGGATTCTGAAATAAGGCAAGGAGCACTGTTTAAGCTAGGCAGGCTTGCTTGGTTTTCCTGAGAGGGGCGGGGGCACGGGACGCTTCCCGTGGGAACTCTTCCACCCGCCTAGGAGTATTTGTAGCAGTTTTCCAAGCAGTGGCCTGAGCCGTCAGAGTTGAAACCAGCAGAAGAAGCGAAGGGCCGGCTTGGCTCGACCAGACTGGGCTTGAAATGCGAGAAGGTCGATGGAGAGGGTGGCTGGAGGACGTAGAGCAGCAGGATCTTGGTTGGTGTTCGCTTGAGAAAACGGGTGAGGGTCCATGCGAACGGTTCGAAGAGGAGGGTCGATCAGTCGGGCGGAACTCAGCATCCGTATGATATAACACACAACCAGGACCATCAGGCTCGAGGGCAGTCGCAGCACAACAGGCAACCTTTCAGAGTAAATGGATGAGGTACCCGCAAAGTAGCAACAAGACACACCAGAAAAAACCTTGCAACCAAGATGCGACGTAACCTAATTTAACATAACTGTAAATTAATTTATTACGATAACGTCCACGCTACCGTTGTGTACGATACTGTGTTCTGTCTTTTAAGTTGATCCCGCCAGGGGCTAACTGTGAATCTCGTTCTGCCGTCATCATTCTGTGACAATTCAAGTTCCGAACGGATACGTGATTTAAGTTGGTGCCAGTGGTGAACGGTATGTTCAAGGTGCTGCTGTCTGTATTAGACTGTTATTAGTAAACGGGGATAGCTGTTGGTCGGTGATTGTAGCTCGCTGGCCGTTCCTGTGGGGAACGACCGCTGGGTGGAACACTTGGCGTGGAACAGCGCGTCATTGTCCATACGGGGGGACAGCAAAGCGGGAAAGTACGACGTAGATTTTTCCCTTAATCTATCTTGCCAGCCGATCCTGTTCGTTTGCACAGCTACTAAAATTCGTGCAGATGGCGAATGCCTGTTGAGATCAGGACAGCGCTCCCGGCTCGAAGAACACCACGGGGCCAGGAGCTGCTAGACAGTTGGACCATCCAAGGCAAAAGTGGGCCGACCAGAAAGACGGCCGTAATACCAAATTCACCAAAGCAAGAATTAACCGACGGAACAGACGCAAGGTGACCACGTACGTATCATACCATCTATATTTCCGTGGCTTACGTGTGCTGAATGACTATCTAATGGAGCTAAAACAGAAAATGGCTATTAATGGTAGCCATCGAACCACAATAGTAACGATTGGCGTCCCAGTTCAGTCGTTGCTAATTTTTAGTGGTTACCGCTCCTGTCCATAGGGCTGCCTGTTGAAAGAGCAGCCGGTGCAGCATCAGGCCGCCGAGGCTCGAAAAACAACAGGGCACCACTTCTTTGGTGGTAGTGAGAGAAGCCCGTGTGTGTGGCATGCTCGCACAGCCCGATGCATCGTATCCGGGTCCCGTACGTGCACCCGATCGTGTGCTGCACGTTTAAACGCGCCATCCGTTTACTACCATCGGTTCTTTTAATTGCGTTCGTCCTATCGCTAATCTTTGTCACGCTCATACAGGTGGCAGTGATTCACTCGCAGCGGCGTGCAATCTATCTTCAGCGACGGGTGAATGGGGTAGTATCGACAGCATCGTCCTCACCGCTTTATGCTCCACAGTCGTCGGCATCCGCTTACCTGTCATCGTATGGAAGTCCCAATATCAACGGTGGGGGTAATTCGAACAGCATCAACAATAATAATAACTGGGTCGGGGCTGGCCAACAGCAGACCAAAGGTAACCCGTCAGCTGGTGCTACTAGTGGCGGGGTAGGCAGTGCCAGTGGAACTGTTAGCGCTGGCGGGACAGTAAATCTAGCAGGTTCGAACGGTAAAACCTACGGTCAAAAGCTTCCCGCAGGCAGTCCTTCTGGAGGACCTGGATCGACTTCGAAGCCGAGCGAACCCGCGCTCCGCATCGAAGCAATTCTCGATCGGAACGCGCCATCTGTCGAAGACTTTGCCGTGTCCATTAACAACAACGCTAATGCGGCTCGAATACGACGAATTTTCGATGCTGTCAAATGCCATATATCATCGAACAGTAATGCCATAGTCAACAATACCAACAGCAGTAACAATAATATTAATGCAACTAACAACAAAAGCAACGATCATGGTAATGCCAACAACAGCATTAGTAATGGAAGCAGCAGCTGCAACAACTGCAACTCATCAAAGCCAATTGCGACGGCGGCAGCCACGAGTGACGTTTTAAGTGGCACTGGCGAAAGAAGCCCCAACAGGGGCACTACATACAGCGCTAGCAACAATCGCGATGACCACAATGACAGCGTGGCAGCGAGTGCCGGCGAAGCAGGAAATAGTGCAAGTGGCAACAGTAACAACAACGACAAGGCGGATCGTTTGTCGGCCACAGCAACATCTACGACGACAACCTCAACAACGATAGGAACAACAACAACGTTGTCATCTGCAACAGTCGCCCCACGGGAGGCCCCTCGCCCACTGGCCCAAATCAACGATGAGGCGTGCGGGGGCTCAAACGTCACCCTTTGCCCAGAAGTGCCTTCGGGGTTACGTGAGTATCACACGTGCTATGTTCCTTTCCTTTGCCTAAGGGATTATTTTCTATAATTGTATTTAGTTGAGAAAGAATATACCAGGAATACGTTAATACGTACGAACTCCTGTATTATAGAACTTTTAGCTACCTGTGATCTCCTTATCTAGCCAAAGATATCTCAAAACGATGTGGTGTACCGCCCGACAGCGTTCATATGTAAAGCCTTGTTAATCTTATGTTATATATAACAGCTGCACAGAAAAAAGAACCACAGATTTTTTGCGCATTCACTAGATGTCACTCATCCTACAGGTTGGGTTCCGGCATCCACATAGGACTTGTAGGAAATACCATCGGATGTTATCGTCACAGGGTTCAGGACGAAAACACGAGGCAGATAAGGCATGAGTCTTGTAGCCTTTTAGATGGACAGTGAGTGAATAGCCTATTGGCTCGGTCAAATGAACCTGCTAAATAGTAGCGGATACGGTGAACAGTTTTGCCACGGTCTAGAAAAAAAATACTAAAGTCGTACTGATCGTCGCCGTGCAAGCCAAGCCATGCAATTCAGCAAGTTTGTCAAGGCCAAAAAAAAAGGGTAAAAATTTCACCAAGTTTACAGGATTTTTCGGAACAACAAATAAGACAATTGCTTGGCTATTATTAACTTACCGTATCTTTGAAGAGAAATTGGGATAAAGTCACCAACTTCAGAGCCTGACGAATATTTCAGCTTCAGTGACCTTAAAATCAATAATATATAACATTTATTAATAAAGTTTGCAAAAATAGATGCGAGATAACTATTAGATGCGCGTGATTCACGGAAAATCGTTTTACCAAAAGCAAGTGAACTTACATCATACATTCCTTAAGTTTCATCTGTTCGAACGATGATTCCATTCAGTCATGTCAACGTTTTTTGACTCGTAAACCCATACGAACCTAAAGCAACGAATTCTCCTATGTTTCAAACGTGGTATGCCAACGCAGTATAAGTACTTGGAGACGTTAGCTTTGGAATAAAAAGATGGTTAAGGAAGGGTATATGATTTTGACAAATATTATATAGTGACTGAGCATCATTCAATAATGAAGGTAAATGTCACCAGTTTACAAGACTAAAATTTGCACAAAGAGCCTCGTAATTTATAATACGTTGTTTCAGACGTAAGCTAGAAACACCGTTGACTCATAATAAGTGTTATCAGGTCAATCACAGATGGAAACGAAGCTGATTAGAATAAGGATCGTTAATTAATTTAAGAAAAAAAAAAACGCTAAATTACGCTTCGTTCGTTTGCCTCACTGCTTACCGCTTATACTAGTCCATATGATGGTGAAGAGGGCTTCCTCAGTTGGATTACCTGAAATTCTTGTCATCCCAATTCATATATACAAGGCTGAATGAGTTACAGTTCTCTAAGCTTGCTAGAACACCGAAGTATTCAATTTTCAGCTGAGCGACCTGTATAGGGGTTCAGTACATAATAGCACATATAGTGTGTATTCCAGTTTTTATTAAAGTCATCATTCTACGACTCGTGTTGCAAGAATCAGGAAAAAAAATTTAGTGATTTACGAGTCACATACGAAAAAACAATTACTCAAGGAGAGGTCACCTTCATTGATAAAAGAGGTGAGCAACTACTCAAAAATAAAGGCTGGATCACGATAACTTCGCAGTACATCGGCGGCTTTAGGTTTTATAATTGGCTAAAAACAATAGGCTATACAAGAAATTAGTTTAAATCATTTTGATAAGGCTGTGCATTACGATGACTCGAGAGTTCAGCGTACCTGTTTAATTGTCACTTTCTGCCTGATAACGACCTTCACCGTGATGTAAGGCATGAAAGATACAGCTGACCGTGGTACTTTTGGCGTCCAATGAAATGTTGAGCACGAGCACGCGCACGCTAAGCCTCGAAATATGAATAGTAGAGCAAGGTTTTATCTCAGGACAGCTGGCAATAGTGCCCCATCACTTGATTTTTTGTTTCGTTTTTCTTTTTTCAAATCCATTTCGCGTTTGGCTTTCATTATTGTTACCTATTGTATATGCTTATATTGTGTTCGTTAGTTCTAGCGTTTGCCGATTGACCCATCTGGCTAAGCTTGTGTATCCCACAGTCGATGGGCCGGAACCGATATACAATGGCTTCACCGTGTTATATCGACAATAAAAGAAATATTGTTGCTTGGTGAGGGTAGCTCACAAAGGTAATAACTTAGCATACGGATCATCTACAGGGCTAAATCGATTATCTACATATGGTCTATGCGCTTCATAGACGAAATCACAGGCTGCCTACGTGTGGCGATTTATTAGAATAAATCGAAGAAGTTTGAATTATTGAACAAATTTGGGTGACAACTCAATCCGCCCGATCGGTCATCTGGGCCAACTCTTCTGGCTAGAGTACATAAAAGCTGCTAGGCTGTTACTGCTGTGCCGCTCCTTCTTCCTCCTGCTGAGAAATATTGCTTGTTTACGGCTAGTTGTTTATTGGCCATTTTATCTTCAGGTCGATCTCTCAACGTCCTCCTTTGACATGATCCTTTACCTATTAGAGGCCGTCGAAGTAACACGAGACAGGAACTCACGAAGGTCATATCGCGTACAGGTATTACACCCATTATATTCGGTTGACAACGAAATTGGATCAGGATTTTTTTTTTCATTTTTACGACAACTACCTCTACGGTGACTGCGATTGATAATTCTAACTAATCCTAATGAAGATTCATAACGTTTTTAGAATGCAGTTCAGCTTTGGTCGAAGCTTTGGCAAAAAAGACTTGGTCGATTCGGACCTTGGAACGAGGAAATAATGGAACTCGCTTATATTTTTCGCTCTGCCACACAGGAATATGTTCTGCAGGTTTGCCCCTAGAAATGCGGAAGATCAAATAGGGCTGACTAATCGTAGTAATCAATTATGATTGTCGCAGAGCATACAGATTCATTTAAGTAGGGGCACAATGGCGGTGGCAGTGGTGAGCAATCGTTGTTCGAGGCAAACGGGAGTATGGGACAGGGAGAAATCAAATGTAATTACTATTGTTTGGCTTTTTACTCGACCCAATCGAATACATCTCTCATACTCAAATGAGCACAAACAGACCGTATTGCCGCATCATAAATATACAGTAATCTATTTATGAAGTACACGAATACTGGCTCTATTTTAGATAGAGATGCATATTGCGAAACAAAAAGTTGGGATCACTGCATAAAATTTCTTTTATTAACAGCACAACCAAAGCAATGTGCGACCTAATCACGGATGATTAAATTTATACCTATAGACAAGCTATGCGTTTGCCAGCCTATGCATAGTCATAGAGAATACAACCAACTTCGTCAACGTGAAGTGCTAGACGAAGAACAGCCACAAGCCGCTAACGGCAGCCATACCATTGAAATTGTCATAGTCGCCATTGTTATACCAAGAGCCCGTGGCGTAGCAATGTAGCGCGTATAGGTGCTTTCGTGAAAGGTCGGTAGCGTACTACTGCCAGAGAGTGCTCAAAATGGCCTATTCTGCGACAAACTGGAATCGTCCAGCTAAATCTGCACTGACATAGGGGAGGATCATGAGCCATTGCGAATTCACACAGGGGGGTGGCAGCGACTAAGGGACTAGAGTGCAACGTGTGAAACAAGTCGATCAATTTTTAGGGGTTCTTTTCTCTGTATAGCTACTGTACTGGTAAGACAAGTCGACAGATTCCCAGGGTTGCGACGGTGACGGCGTCAGAGCATGCGACGCCAGAAGTAGTAGCAGATAATGCCCCAGTCCTCTCCAGGAGAAAAACCACAGCCAAAATTCTTGTCAGCCGCTGTAATTTTTTCTGTTCGACCCAGTAGATGCTCTTATTCTTTATCCTTCTTTTTGTCTTATTACTGAAGCAACACTTGGAATATGCACGCACCTCCGTCGACCCCTCTACATCTGCCGACCGCCTTCACGTGCTGCTTCGTGCCACGTGCTACATTTCTTCTCCCCTACCCTTTGATTCCATGTGCAGATCGTCCAAAATCATGGCGAGGTTCTATGCTGCGACACCCGTTTGGACACTAGTTGGGAGCATCGGAGCCACACTTACCGTACGCTTTCTTCCAACGACGAGGTTCAATCGACTTAAAATAAAAACGTTTTTTGAGTGAGCTACAGAAGACGACGAAGTTGACGAATGCTGATGCTACCTCGGCTACAGCTACAGGACCGGCCGTAGCAGGTGACTCGCAATCAGTAGCAATGCGTCTGCGTGAGAGGCAAAGTCATTCCACCGGCGACTTTCTGCCTTCATCTGTCTAATGACACACGGCAACGAGCATACGACTAAAAATAGGCGAAGAAGGAGACGGGGCGGCCCTGGCTGGGTGGCGATTTCTGGTACGAAGCCGCCAAACGAAGAGAAAAACGGCAACTTCACGACAGGTTGCAACGAGTCACGGCGCGTCGGCATCGTCCTTTGGGAGAATACAAATTCGTGTCGAGTTGGCTTTCAATGCTGACCTCGAGCTGACGACGCTAAATGCAGAAGCTACGCAAAAGGTTGCGCGGAGCTGATGGAATGAAGAATTCAAATAGTTGGCAGCTATAGAAGTTGCAGAAGAATAAGCCTGCTACGAGTGAAAAGAATACTAAGCTAGAGTTTAGCTGGCAAACACCTACTTGGAGGCAAAGGCACGCGCGGTGAAAGCTCTATAGAATTTTCTGTTGCTTTGAATCGTAATTTTCAAATCAGATTCAACAGGACACCACGTTGCATTGGAGGGACGAAAACCAGTTTAAAAGAATATCATTCAGGACATGGATATTACAGGCGAAGAGCAAGGTGGACACAGGAAAATAAGCATAGATCGATGAAATACATGAGAGAAAAGAATGATTCAACACTGTGGCAGGCTTGTTCTCTGCTGTTCAAGCCATACTGCCGGCTATGCAATCTTCGGTAGCAACGGCAGCTTTGTGTATCCGTGCTGAATTGAGATTAGAGCCTTTAAAGAAACCAAAAACGGCCTTGAGGCAAAATTAGAGAAATGCATTCCGACATTCGCTTGCTACCCCTGGATGGCTGCAACGACGGCTGGTTCCGTTCCTTAGAAGCTTGATCGCCATACCCATCCATATGTCTCTCCAACAGCAGTAAGAGGCGAAGTCCTCGATAGTCTCTATCGATGGTTATATAAATAGCTAACCGGAGATGCTGTTATATACTTCCTGCGACATATTTACTCACTAGAAAATTGTCCTCAATTTCATCTAGCGCAGCTCGCTCGCTCCCTTCGAAGTCCGTCGTGGACATATGTTTTCAATAGAAATTGCAAACGATGTTGAGAGCGATCTTGTATACAGTATTCGACGTATGAGCAAAGTAAAGCTTCCATGATGTGTCGTTTTAAGAAAACCTGTACGTTCTAAAGGCGACACAATTGAAGACGTCTGGAAAAGCCGAATGGCATTATTCTAATTTGTTAGAACCGCTACCATCAGCCTGCCAGCTAGCCGCGCCAGGACATCCAACGAATGAGATGGGTCGTCTCTTGTGCCTTAGCAACGGCACTTTGTCAAGACGGGCAAGGCCTATTTTTCAATTGTCATTTTTCTTCAGGCATATTTTCATTTCGTTTTCGATAGCTCGTTGCCACGAGGACGAACCGCACATGACAGAGGAGGAGGTCGCAGAGGTTCTGTGTTCCGAAAGAGGTAAATAAAAATTAAAGTCGCGCCGTGTTTCCGATGTAGCGTCGAGAGTTTGTCTGATTGTCTAAGCTCGTCGCCAGAGAAGAATGTCCCTACGTTGAACGACGCGTAAATCTTTGTTGCTCTCATTTCTCAGTTCTCTCTTTAGCTTCTTCTGTTGCAGGAATGAATGGCCTTAGTAAATGGATATAGGACCAAAGTCGGTTAGGCGCAAGCTAGACTCTTCTAGATCACCTGATCCATTTTAGGCGGCTGCATGATAGCATAAAAGGACAAATTATAGG